TATCCAAAATCCATACTAAATGTATTCCTTACTGACAAGTTTACTGAATGCTCATGTATCGAATATTCATCATCCTCAGTGATAGCTTAGGTTTAGTGAGAGTTCTTAGAGGCAATTTACATAGATGTGAGCACTACTGCAGGGCACTGATCAGCCCACCTTACTTTGCTCTTGGACCTGATATTAACTTCAATAAAAAACTTGACAAGGAAGGTCAGCAAACTTATCTTTTTAAAATTTCATTTAATTCACAAAACTATTTTCTAAGGAGTTGATATACAGTATTACTATTGTGTTAACCTCTAATACTACAAAAGCATGTTTGCTTATGAAATCAATCTAGAGTTTAAAAGACAAAATCATATTAGATGCAATGAATTATCTGTATTTAAATACACAAAGTGGGCATGATGGCTACGCAGAGTGGATTCTTTCAGTGGGAGCCTTTAAAAATATTTGTAGCAGCAAAATCCCTGTTGTAAATGCTGTTTTCTTAAAATCTCTCCACAAAACTACCAGCAGGATCAAATCTTTCAAAGCACTGAGAAGTTTTTAGTGGCTCTGAATCCAGAAGGATCATGTAACTAATAAGACTGAAATTGACAAAGGAGTATATAATTTATATGTAGTGTAACACAAGTAACAATACAGAACTTAACATATAATTCACAATTATAAGCCTGCCAAGTCACGTTATTGGAACAAGCTTTAGATCAGGGGATGATGTAACCCAGCCGCACTGACGCTGCACAGCTCGCGTAACCTTGAATATCTCAGGCAGCTGCAGAAGGACCTCACTGTAAACTGCCTGGTCTTTGCCCCCTCGCTTTCTAAAGGAAGTTATTTTGGCTGAGGCCAAGGAAAATTAAAAAGCACATTATTGATATAAAATATTAAAAGACAGCTCTCCGAAGCCAGCTTCAGCACATTTTAACTTCTGCCTTTAAGTTCCATTATGGCCAGTGTTTTACAGAGCATCACCAGCGATGCAGAAGATGATGCTCACAGTAAAGTTCTGCAACTGGAAACAGAAAATCACTGATTTACCGTCTTGCCCAACCCAGCGTTCTGCACACAGGGGTCAGAAGGCAGAATTCGGCCAGACTCACCAATACATCACCCTGAATCCAGCAGAGCATTCCTAAATAGCGGTAGTTGCTAATAGGCACTCATTACACTAATAGATTGCTCACTAATGGGTGTGCTGACGGAGCCCCCCTCGCAGCCCATCCCCGCGTCCCTGCACCCGATTCTCTTCGGGTGATGCTCCAAAGCCTTCAAAGGGCATGAGGAAAATCTGCTCGGTGTGGTGAAAGGAATCAAAGAGGCTCTGCTGAAAATTCCTAAAACGCTTCTGCCCTAATCTTCTGGAGCAGAGAAGGGGCTCGCAGAATACTAAACTTGCTTTTCAAAGGAGATCAAAGCAACACGAGCAACAACTGCAAACATGAACGGAGGTGTGCGCATGGGCACGGGGAAGGCAGAGAGCCTCTCTTCAGCCGCCCACGAAGGCTCCCGCTGACTTATCTACCCGTTACACATGCGGTTTGAAAGGACAGGAGACGTGTTTAAAAGGTACACACAAACGCTCCGCCTTTGGACGGGCTGTGTTTCATGCACACGCAGCGTTTTACGAGATACACTGCTGCCATTAATTCTGAAAAGCTCCTTACCCACAGTCTAATTAAAGCAGCCTATAATTTCGTATTTGTTTAGCGATTCAAAGATAAATGAAGTTGTGGCTGTGTATCTCCCCTTCCCGGTGTCACCCTGCAGTCAGGGTTAGTCTCACAGAGCGTATTTAACACTTTGGCAGCCAGATGCTTGCTTAGGAAATCCCCCCAGAACAGATTCACAGCTCAGCCACTTCCAGCAGATATTTTATTTGCCTGCTTCAACCTGCCCGTGCCCCCTATGCCTGCTTCTCCTCCAGAGCCCCCCGTGTGAGCTGCGCTTGCACAGCAATGCTGATGTGCGGTCCCAGCAGCACTGAGGTTGGCTCCCAACTCTGGCACTCAGCACTGAGGAGCCCCAGCAGCCAACCTGCTGTTTCCCTGACAATACAATTTGTGTTTCCTCCCTCCCAATCTGCTATTCCGCTGCGTAAACTGGAACCGAAAATAAATAAATAAAAATCATGGAAAAGAAAACAGCTGTGGGAAAAAACTCTGCTAAGTTCACAGGGTGAGGAAGGAATGAGTAAAACCCCAAGTGAACTCTCCTGGCTGAACTGGGTTAGGATGAAAAATGCTGCTGCTAAATCTTGAAAATTTAGGTCAGCCTTGTTTATGTGAAGATATAAAGCACTGACATTTGGAGAAGCATGTGAACTAACGCAGTATTTCAGCGTTCCTTCTGAATCAGTGGGCCACGAGGCCCTTTCATACCGACCAATTTCCCCTCCTTCAAATTAAAAAAAATAAATCTGAATTGTCACTTTGGCTGCAACCAGCAACACACTGAAGCATCGTGTTTTAAAGTCTAGTGGCCGCAGCTGCTGAAATATTTTGTATTTTTAAAACAGACTGAGTTAACCAAGTAGATACTTGGGAAGCATTTAACCGATGTAGAAGAGAACAAAGTAGGTACAATTTCCAAAGCTATCTGCTTTTTTTTCATCCCTGTGTGAATACGGGTTGCATTATAGCCCTATGAATACCAGAGAAGATGAGGAAAAGGATAATTGCTGCTTTTCTGAGACCTAATTGATGTTATCCGAAACACGCATCACACCAGATACCCGTTCCCTTTAACACAGCTCAACATATGGTGATTCTGACAATGCAAACAGGGCTCGGTCCTATTTCTCCTCAAATCCACGTGAATGGTTTATTATACACAAAATGAGGCCCAGTGATTCATGTTGCTAAAACGCTACTTAGCAGCAGCGAAACTGCTCAAGTATTTTGCCTGCCTATACTTGGGCCTCCTACGGCGGCCACTGAGACCAATGGCAAAATTCCCATCTCCTTCCATGGGAGGGGAGCCAAGCCCTTAGAAACCTTTGTATTTAAGGAAAAACAGTTTTCCTCCCACTCACGACTACAGTTCTCCTGAAAAACCAATGGAAATGCTGAAGAAGTCAGGTGGTTCGGATTGGGCCCAAAGGTCAAGAACAAAGAATATGAAGGCAGTTCTGCTATTGAAAAACTGAGCAGCATCCTCAAAGCACTGCCTGGCTTCTTCGCCTGCTTGTTTGTTTGTTTACTGTTATTATTTTGAACAGAAAATGACACTTCTAGATCTGACTAGGGAGATATTAAAACATATATAAATCCTGGAAGAAGAAATGAAGCGCACATTTCATTTAGTGTCTGGATTACAGCTTCTTATTAAACAAACCAGAGCTCATTATAAAATCAATATCAACTTAACCACTCTGCTCCCAAGAGAAACGGCAAAAAAGGTCACTCCAAGAAATTCAAACAATTTTCCTGCTGGAAGGGCACGATTTTAATTACAGATACTATTAATTAGAGCTGTCACTAAGAAGATTGTCCTGTTAATTATCACAAATTCAGTTTCAAGTGTGATTTTGGAACCTGGAGGGCTTCCTTAAAAAAAAATAAAATAAAATAAAGGATTTGTGTATTCATGTTTAATGAAAAAAAAGGAAAAAAGAGACTACCTATCCCTTCTGTGATTGTGGATTGAATAAATCAACAGTAAGTTCCCTATTGATAACCAACAAAAATGTTTACAACCGAGATCTCTTTGGCCAACTAAACTCAAGAGGACAAGTTGCTGGTTGGGCCACACATTGTCCTGGAGGACACCCCATTCTTCCACAGGCAAAACAATAAAGGACTGGAAATGCTTTTGCTCTCGCTTTCTCTTGCTTTAGAATTCATTACATTTAAAGACCTAAAGGAGATCTGAGGATTTTCTCTTTACAGAAAGCATTCCATTTAAACTGAAAAGCAAAACTGTTCCTGAAGATACCAATCACAACAGAAACATCTGCATTTATCACTCATTACTACCATCTCTCTGCGCCCAGCCTGGGGAGAGGCACTGCACAATCTCCTTTCCAACGCAGAAGCGGTACAGACAGACCCAAACTTCCCGAGTTTACTCCTGCACGACTCCCAGCTACCAGTCTGAAGCCTCAGAATACAGAAAGGCCATCACGCCTGATGCTGAGCAGAGCAAGAAGGTAAAACAGAACTTGACAGAGAAAGGCCACAAGGAGGATCCTATCGATGCGCAGCACACACGGGTACTACAACAATATTTACACATTCTCGACTTCTCTCTCCCAGCCACACTCCAAATATTTTGGGCTAGAAAACAAGAGCTGCGTGGTGTGCGACCAAAATATGTGCACTGCCATCACCAAGAACACCCCCAAGAGATCAGCCCCGTGAGCTAAAACAAACTCCAGCAAGATGCAGCCTCTCTCCACCCAGCTCTTGAAACTGAAAGAGAAACTCCAATGTTTTGTGATGCGTTCCAGCAAATCTCAGCGCGGCACTCCCGCCTTCCTGGCCACACATCTGCCACCATTGTTCTCCGCCAAACAGCCCCCATTCGCCTCCCCATCTATCAGCATTACATTTCATTTTATCTGAATAATGGCAGAAGGTGGCAACAGATCGGGTCAAAGGCTCTTTTCATATCAGACTCTGAAGAAGTCGATTACTCAGAATGAGAGACATCTTCAGATAACCGTGCGAACCATCCCTCAGAAACGCTAAAGATTTTTCGTTATTAATAGCGGCAGGGGTGACAGATTATGGATATTAATGTTATTTTTCAGAGAATTTCAACAGCGAGGGGCTTTCTTTTCCTTCTTTGAATGTTTCTAATTGGACACAAATTTACAGCCACGAGGACTGCCCGGCAGTAAGGAGCTGCTCCTGGGAATATTCACAGATGGGAGGGGGGGAAGCACTGAAAACAAACGAGCCCAACGAGTGTCTCCTGGCTGAACGGGGCTGGGGAGGAGAAGAAGGAGGAGGAGGAGGAGGAGGGGGAGGAAGAGGAAGGCCGGCACTTACCTGATAAGCAGCGGTAGCATCGGATCCGGCGTCAGCCCCCAGGGCCGAGAGCTTCTCCTTGAGCCGGTGGTGGGCGCGGTGCCGTAGGCAGTAGACGACCCCCGATGCTGCCAGGACCCCGGCGATGCAAGCGAGGGAGAGGAGGGTGAGGAGGAGAAATTTGGCCGACTCTGCCTCTTCCCCGCGCTGCGGGAGCGGCGGGACGTGGCTTTTCTGCAGGGGAGGAGAGAGAGGCAGCGCCTGAGTGCGCGGAGCGGAGCGGTGCGGGGGCCCCGTCGGGGGAAGCCCCCGGCAGAAACGACTCGCAGCGGGGCCGGAGCTCAACGGCGGGCAGGGACAGCGCCGCGACCCACCCGCTCCGTCCCGTCCCGTCCCGTCCCCTCCCGTCCCTTCCCCGGCCGTGCCCTCCCCTCCCGGCTTTCCGCTCCCGAAAGGCGGAGGCGGGCGCTGGGTGCGCGCACCGCCGGGTCCCCCCTCCTTCCTCAACCACACAGAACAACGAGGGAAAATCCGTTTGTTCTTTTTTTTTTTTTTTTTTCTCCTTAGAGTGAAAAATAAAACACGAAACAACAGGGAAAAAAAAAAAAAAAAGAAGTAGGTGGCAGTTCTTCCTTTTGTCTGTTACAGAAGAAAAAGGATTATATATAAATATAAAAAGAGCCGGATAGGTCCAAACTCCTCCAGATGACTATTATTTTTGCAGCAATAGGAGAGAATCCTTCTCGTGCATTTCACTTGTCTCCATGTGCTAAAAAGTTGTACAATAATTTCCCCTCATTAACTTCATTATAAGCTATATTAGCAACAATTAAAAACGCAACATGAAAATGAAAAGACCAGGCGCGCAAATTGCAGCAGGACTCATTTGGCCCGCGTTCCCCCTTTCACAATTACCAGGGAAATGAATTGAAAAGCACGCCCCTGCCTCAGCCCTGGTTGCTACAAGATGAGAACAATTAGCAAACTCCTTTCCACCACCTAATTTCGCGTGGTAACAAAATGGATTTTTCCCCATGAATGCCTAGCCGGCCTATTCATTATCTCTCCTCTATTAGTAATTTTCTGCTCCGTATTCAGCTAGCCAGCTCTTAATTTCCTCCTGTCTTGCAGTGTACACAGTGGCTCTTATGTCAGGCCCGGTCCATTTTTATCTTGTAATCATAAAGGCCACCAAAGCAATTATCGCTGGTCTTGACTGTAAAAGCTTGTCATTAATTAGCCTCCTTGCCTTCAGTACTGCGGATTAGCCGGGGCTGAGGCTGAGTTAATGGAAATGCGGCTTCAAGGAGCCTCCCGGATTTTCTCGCCTGGATGCTGGGAGCGAAGGATGCTCGGCCGGCTCTGGGAAGCCCCGGGGGCGGGCGCGGACCCCACTCGGCCCGGCCCGGTTCAGCCCGGCTCGGCTCGCACCGCCCCCCGGCCCCTCCTCCCAATCCCACCAGCCACCAGGGGGACGGGGCCGCTCCCCCCCCCCTCCACAGGGGGCTCCAGGGGCGCCTCCCCTCGCCCCCACCCCGGGCCACCTGCCCCGGCCGCCGTGGGCTTGCAAACCGAGCAGGGAGGGGCAAACCCGACGGCATCACCCGGGGGCCCGGGGATACGCGGGGCTGCCGCGCTCTGCCATTAGCATTTTAGTGAAAGGGACGCCGTCCCCTCGGGGCCAAGGGTCGCGATCTGCATCTCAATAGGCGGCCCCCGCTAAAGGGCCGCCGCCCCCTCCCCGACGGCTGCGCCCCGGGACGTTAATCCGCCTCTCCGCTCCGCTCGACCCCCCGATAGCAAGGCACAGAGGAGCCCCTCCGACCCGGTTCGGGCCCCCCGCGGTGCCCGAGGCCACCCCGCCCCCCCAAGCCTCCCCCAAGCCCCGAGGGCGCGTCCCCGCCGCGCAGCCCCGGCTCCCCCACCGCACTGCTCACGGATCTCCCCTTTCTCCGCTTTTAGCACCGCGGTTTTAAAACGCTTTTCCCTTCGCCTTTCGCCGTGTGAAAGAGCCGCGCAAACGCCAGGGGGAAAGGGCTGTGCGAGGGAAACAATGAAAATGACGGGAGCAAAGTGCTGTCAAGCGCCCTGAGTAAACACGGGGGAGAGAAGGAGCGTGCTTTCCCCTCGACTCCCGTAGTTATAGTGACGGGAGTGCCGCTTCCAACTTCTCGCAGCGCCGGGATCGAGGGGCGGCCGTGCCCGGAATAAAGCGGCGTGGGCCGAGATCCGCTTCTCGTAACGGAAAACGCGAGGAAACAGTCGGGTTTGGGGCTGTGGGGTGGGGGTTGAGGGTTAGGGTGCCTTGTTGGCACCACGTCGGGAAACGTTTTTCATGGGGAGCCCACGGAGCCGCCGTCCCTGGTGCAGGGCATCAGACGGCCAAGAGCTTGCAAAAAAAATCCAAAGCAAAATAAAACACACAACCTTCCAAGGGAAGGCGCCAGGAATGACCAGGGAAGAGGAGTTGGGGAAGCGGCAGCCGCACCTCCGCCCCATCAATCACATCGGGGGCAGTCAGCCCCTCTCCCTGCCGCCGTCGGGGCGCGGAGCTTCCCCGTCTCCCCTCTCTGCCACCAGAGTCGGTGAGGAGGAGCAGCCCGGGGGTCGGGAGCCGCGTCCGGCTGGGCGGCCCCGCGTACACCTCCGCCGTCGGGGAGCGCAGGGCTGGGGCAGCAGTGAGGCCCGGCCCCGGGATGCGTCCCGACAGGAGAACCTTTGCTTCCCGGTGCTTCCAGAGCAGCACCGCAGCCCCGCTGCCCTTCCAGCGCATCAACCGTCAAACGATCAGCGAGGTCGTTCCAAGCTCCCTCCTTCCGTCCCTCCCTCTCCCTCCCAGCCAGGAGCTGAGATTTCCCCTCGCCCAAACCTCTCATTCTTCTTTCCCCGCAATAAGGCCCCAGCCTGAAACGGAGCCCAGGGTTAATTAGAGGCGTCCTGTCAGACTTGACTCGAAATTGAAAGAAAAATGTTTAAATATTTATGAATTTGACATTTACAGTCGGATGTCTTTTAAGGCAGAACACCTCTCCCTGTGCTCGCTCAGGCTGCCACGGTGCTCGCCCGGGGTGGAAGGGGAACAATAGCTGTTGCATAACAAGAAAAACAAATCACCTTTCTTTCCCCTAAGGCTCAACAAATAAATACACCACATAAATTACACATAATTAAATATTAAACTCAGCTACATGTAACTATGCATTTTTTAAACTTTATAGAGCTGAATATATTGACATCCCCCTGAATGATTTCCTTTTCGGAAACACATGTACTGCGAGTCCCAATGAAGGCAAAACCACTGATCCTAAACAGACAGCTTAGAAAATAACTCAAAACACTCAGGCTATGGTCTTTGCTTGCTTTGCAATGGCCCAATCCACGATAAATACTAGATGACAAAGCTTCGCCCATCCCAGAGCATCACACCTACCAACCACTTTCACTCTTCCATTCTATGACTCTACACTCACCAGCGCTCACTGGAGCTACACCGCTTCCATAAGGGTTGTGCTGTTGTTGTCACGATTATTTTAAGAGGGAAAAAAATGCACGGGATCTGATCTCACATTGGCTTTCCCAGTCCCTTGGCAGAGCACATCTACACTCAGCCCAAAGTGAAGCAGTCAATAGTGCAGCGTAACGCCGGAGTCACAAATCACCGCTCGAATCAAAGCGCTGCGTCCCGTTCCATGGTGTCATCCCATGATTCAGCACAAACAAATCCCAGGCAAGTGGCAGTAAATATTTAATGGAGGATTTCATGTAAATAAGTTCTCACACCTACGATGGAAGAAGGGTAGAGGAAAGCCTTTGTGACAGCGGAGAGGGCTCTGTGCAGGGCTGTGAGTGCTCACCTTCCAGATGCCCCAGCAGAATTAACTCCATTATTCCTCCTAGGACACAGGACCTGATTCTGCTCCTGGTTGAAGCAGAACTCTCACAGAAGTTGAGGTTTGATTCCACTTTATCAGTGTAAGGAGGTATTTCTGACAACGCTCAGCTGCTGCACCCAGCCTTCCCTCCACGATGTAAAGGCAAAACCACTGTGATTCATTTAGGAATAACCTCACACTGCATTTTTTTTGCAGCTTGTGAATGTCTTGATTATTACATTGCTATCAGGCAGATTGGTTTCTAAGCAATAATAATAATTTAGAAAGCAGATTTCTTCATAAACATGGGCAAAAGGAGCTACTTGAGAATATGATTTGTTTCAAAATATCAGAATGCTAAAAAACTCGAGAGGTGCTATTTTTAATTTGGAATTCACTATAGAATCTAATAAATGAAAGAAGTGAGGCGGAAATAATCATGTATTAATTCTGTGCATTACAAAATCTTTTCAGAAGCTATTATCAGAGCAAGAGGCATTGTGGTTTGGATTCAGGGTGGGAGAAATCCTTTGTGCAACTGAAAGCTATTGTTCCTCTGTGCAGATGAAATTGTACTTGCAAATCTGCCATTCAAGGAGCAAAAGAGTGCCTGGGCAGAAGAAAAGAATTCTACAAGAAAATCGTTCCTCTTAGAAATGAACTTCAGGAAAATAAGTTCTAGCTCACCAGCTTCTCTTGTTTTTCTAAAAGGACCCTTTGCTAATAGGCTCGGTGCTAGAAGGGAACGTGTGTTATTTCCTTGATAGAGGAAGCATGAAGAAAGGGACGGGTAGGGGTCTGTGTGCGTGCATCTACAATATGTACTCTTCTACATAGATATATATGTATTTGCTTGTTTAAATAAATCTAAACTTAAATCCACTTCTAACAGATTCTTGCTGCAGGGTGATTGGGGATAGAGGGAGAGATGCTCTATGCTCTTTAAGTTTGATAGGTCACCAGAAACCCAGAGGCGCACTCGGCATCAGGACAAACCTGGCTACCTCACTCTGTCCCTAGGAAACCCACAGACACAAAAGGTTTTCCTTTGTGAAATAAGAAAGCAAAACAAAGGGAAAGCAGAAGTTCCCTCGGTTTGGTGCCTGCCCCCTCCTCACCCAGGCAGGTCCATGGGCCACAGGGCCTTGGGATGCTCACAGCATGAGTTTCGGTTCAGTGCCACGCTGCCAGGCTGCACAGCCCAGGCTACTTGTTGGTGCTTTAAGGGGATATTTGAAGAGTGAGGAAGAGGTGTCTGGGGCTGCTCTCAGCCTCCCTCCTTGCACCCTCCTGCCCGGCTCGCCTGGTGCTTTCAGCAGATGTCAGTTCATCACCTGAAATGAGGTCAACGTAATGCTTTCACTTGAGAGGGTGAAATCGGAGGGGAAGGTGCTTTTGGCTTCTTGTAGGGGTCGGGAAGATTAGACAAATCGACGGGCACAATGGGCAGATGGATTTCTGGGAACTGCAGCTTATTCAAATCACTGAGAAAGGTCACTGCGAGAGCCACAGATCTATTCATCGGTGGGGGCACAATGATCTTTCCACAACCTTCAACACCACAAAGCACTCTCGAGCGTCTCTATACCTTTTAGTAGGATTAATGCCGCCAACAATGACTGAATACAATCAAGAATTCAGTGAGTTCAAAGATCCCTTGATCAATGGTAGATATTTTCCTCCTAAAGGCAAACAGAAGTGAAGTTTCTGGTTAGAGTTACGAGAAGCGACTATAGGCATTGTCCTGAGTCCCACTACATGGTGATGCTGAGATGCCCAGAGGTCTGAGAACCCCGAAGAAGTCTGTGGTGTAAGGTTGCAAAAGAGGAAACGTATCGTAAACTTCAAGATTTTCTCGAGGCTCTTAGTATTAGTTAAAGCACGGCATGAAAGCCTACAGCATCAGCTGAGCTGTGCTGACGGACACACGGACAGGAAACGGGACAGCCACATCCACGCCTAAAAAGGAGGAAGGCAAAGCCGGAGGTGCGGAGAGGAGACGCCGGGGTGAAGAAACTTCCATTCCCAGCTCGGAGGAGCGACGCGGGAGAAAGCAGCAGAACGCGAGCACCGGGACGCCCACTTCCTCCTTAGCTTGGGCTTTGTCAGCCAGAGCGAAACGGATAAGCAGAGGGACAGAGCAGGTCCAAGCCACGAAACCTAGCCAAGAGGTCGGCTAGCGACAGCTGAGCTCGGTCAAATATCTCCGGCAAGGAGCAACGCGAACCGCTGCGCCAGCGCCGACTTAACGCCGATGCCGAAGGCACATCGCACAGACACGAGCTAAAAGCGCCCTCCGAGCGGCTCTCGGAGCGCAGCCGGAGCCCCGCAGCGGAGCGGCCGCCCCGTCCCATCGCCGGGCCCCGCCGGCCGCCGCCGCTCCCCCCGCGCTCCTCCCGTGCTCCGACGGGGCGGGCACGCAGCGGCCCCGCTCGCCCCCCGCCGCCATCCCCTCTCCCGGCGCGGCTCCCACCGCCCGCGGACCCCGCGCCGCGCTCCCCCCGCTCCGCCTTTACCTGCTGCCATGGCGCTGCCGCCGGCGGGCCGCCACCGGCTCCTCCCTCGGAGGGCTCGGCGCACCTCGGCGGGCTCCGGCCGTCCTCCTCCGCTGCCCCGACTTCCCCCTCTCCTCCCCTCCTCCTCCGCGCAGACAAAGGCGGCGGAGGCGGCCGCGAGCGCCCCGCGCAGCTCCGAGCGCTCCGGGCGCAGCGGGCGGCCCGGGGCGGCCCCGCGGGGCGCGGGCGCGGGCGGAGGATGCCGGCGCGCCCCGACGCTGCCCTCCTTATATCGGGCCGCTCGCAGCCCCTGCCGGCTGCCGCACATGGCCCATCCACCGGTTGCTATAGCGATGCCTCCCCTCCACATGTTGCTGGCAGCAATTGGCTAAGGAGGTCTGGGCTGTTCAGAAACCCTTCGCCGGTGTGAGGCGATGAATGGACACCGCCTGTGTCACTCATTTGGAAAAGCTGTTCGGGGTTTCTGTTGTGGATGTGGGATTTTTTTCTTTTTTTTTTTTTCTTTTTCTTTTTTTTTTTTTTTTTTAACGTGTCCCCCCCTCCCGTCATTTTTTGGTGCCACTCTCGCAAGATGGAAGCGGTGGGGGCAGAACAATGACGGAGGAGCCAGAAAATAAAAAAATAAAAATAAATCATCAAATCAGGACATCACAGTAAACCTAAAGAGCATGAGAGCATTTGCATGACAATACCGCAAAGAACCTCACAACGTCTCTTCCTCAACGGACTTTCCTACGTTAAAAAATAAAAAATAAAAACAGCCTAAGGCTGAGCACAGAAGGTCCAAACTTTTCCCCACCCGCCCCCGTTCCCAACACCGCACGAAGCGGGAAGGGCGCGGGGCGCTGCGGGGCCTCTCCAGGACATCTCGGCCCGAACCCACAGAACGAAGCGGCCCCTGCAGGTGACAGGTCCCACGAAGCCCCCTCCCGCTTCCCCATTGTTTCCACTTGCCACGACAGCTGGAGTTGGCAGGCAGGGACTGGGGAGGGCTCCTCTTCCCTTTCCCTGACCGCCTCCCCGGGGCAAAACCCGCCTGAGTCAGGAGAGCCCCAAATCCCCGGGCTCAAGGATGCTGCCGTCTCGCAGCCCCGGGAGCCGTCGGGGGCCCGACCCGCTGTGGCCGCTGCGGGCTGTGCCTTCCCGGCAGGGCTTGGGCTCTTCACAGCCTTCCCTGTGACACTGCAGCAACCCTGGGGGAGGCTTTCCCTTTCCTCTTCCCTTTCCTTCGTTCCCCGTTTTCCTTTTTCCCTTTCTATTTCTTTATTCTTTTTTTTTTTTTTTTTTTTTTTTTTTTTTTAAAAATCATTTTTCACAAGGCTCCTTATCCCTGAGCCGCCCTCCACAGGGCCTGCCCAGGGACCCAAGGAAGGGCCAGGGCAGCC